GAGACAATATAATGTAGCGAATATAATCAATTGATGAATTTGAATGTAAAGAACTTTTATATTCAAGAAAAATAAATACAATATAACTAATGAAATTATTTCTCTTATTTAATTTATTGATAATGAATAATGTTTTTGAATAAAGGCATTGTAGACACATAATTCTAAATTAAAGAAATGCATATTTATTAATTATTGTTGTAACTACTAAATTATTATTTAATTTAATAAGAGTAAAATAGAGTACAAACTACTAATTATGCCAACTTTGATTGGGATGAGGTTCAAACCTAAGACCTTTTTCTTATTGAAATCAATGAGTAAGTTAAAGGTGAACTAACAGAAATTAACAAAAAAATTAACGGATAATCATATTCATTAAGGATAAATTAGGAAATCTTAAGGAAAAATTAAAATCTGATCAATATGAGCCATTCATTGATTAAAAAATTTGACCGCCATTTTTTCTACCTATTATAGGCCTAACTCTCTTGGGTTCTTATTAGTATAGTAGAAATATATGTATACCCTTAAGTCATTTTACATGTTCTAAACAGCTAATTTTTTCAAATATCTTTCTACCAACCGTTGATATAATTCGCTGGTCAAATTCACTAATATAATCTGCTAACGCTAACCGCTAACTGCTGATTGTCAAACAAGGATATTGTGAGATAGTTCTCACTTCAATTTGTTGTGGGGTTTGAATACTCTCTTTGTCAACATATCCCTTAAGTAGTTAATATGATTGTCTTTAATTTATTAATTATATTTTTAAAATTTTTTACGATATTAATAAAATACTTGGTAAATTAATATATTGCATTATTTTGTATTATAACTCTGATATTTAATTTAAAAAATAGTGCACAAAAAAGATAATAGACAATGTAGTGAATATAATCAATTGATGAATTTGAATGTAAAGAATTTTTACATTGGAAAAAAATAAAGACAATATAACTAATAAAATTATTTTTATTAATTAATTTATTGATAATGAATAATTTTTTTTAAATAAAGACATTGTAGGGACAATGTAGCGAATATAATCAATTGATGAATTTGCATTCAAAAAAGATAATCAATTGATGAATTTGAATGTAAAGAATTTTTATATTCGAGAAAAATAAAGACAATATAACTAATGAAATTATTTCTCGTATTTAATTTATTGATAAGGAATAATTTTTTTTTTTGAATAAAGACATTGTAGACACATAATTCTAAATTAAAGTAATGCATATGTATTATTTTTTGTTGTAGCTACCAAATTATTATTTAATTTAATAAGAGTAAAATAGAGTACTAAATTTAGTAAGAGTAAAATAGAGTACTAATTATGCCAACTTTGATTGGGATGAGGTTCGAACCTAAGACCTTTCTTATTGAAATCAATAAGTTAACGGTGAACTAACAGAAATTAACGGAAAAGATAATATTTAACGGAAAAGTTAACGGATAATCATATTCATTAAGGATAAATTAGGAAATCTTAAGGAAAAATTAAAATCTGATCAATCTGAGCCATTCATTTGATTAAAAAATTTGACCGCCATTTTTTCTACCCATTATAGGCCTAACTCTCTTGGGCTCTTATTAGTATAGTAGATATAAAGATATTTGTGAAAGTTTAGGTAATTTGTGGTCTGATCTTTTCATTTTGAATTGATTAATTAGTTTTATAAATTACCCATTAAACCATGAGTATAGTACTAGATCAGTAATTTATTGGGATAAAATGATGGATGTATTTATATTAGAATTGGTGAAAGGTTTTATAACTCTTCTAGTGTGGTAGTGCTTACCTTTATGGTGTGTTTGGTTCATGGAATAGGTCGGGAATGGAATACCGTTTCCGGGAATAGACCTACTCCATTGTTTGTTTTGTCATTTTATTCAAGGTAATAGCTTTCCCGGGAATGAGCTATTCCCTTTGCAGGGGGAATAGCCATTCCAAGGGGACTCAACCTGGTATTAGCTATTCCCAAGTATTTGGGAATAGCTTTAGTACTATAATATCGAAAATACCCTACCACTGCCACTAGTGCCGCCGTCTCCACCACCAACCCACAACCACCGCCACCACCACCACCGCCGGCACTGCTACCACCGCCGCCACCTCCACCGCAACCACCACCGCCGCCACCACCACCACCACCACCACATATTTTTATAAGGGTATTTATGTCTTTTGAAACATATTTCATTCTATTCCTTAAACCAACCAAACGCTATAATATAATTCTTAAAGTCTATTCCTTCCGCGAACCGTCCGCATCTTAGGAAGCAAAACTCATGCCCACCTGCGGTAATTTTGATTCCATGGGTGCTTTGCCCGCACAGGTTTGAATCCTACCGCTCACCTATCTTCGTTGTCACCTAATAGGTAGTATTTAAGAGAAAAATTTAGTTTCAAGTGATTTATTTGATTTAGTTCTTTTACCCCAATTTTGTCACCCAAGAAGTAGTATTTGGGAGAAAAGTCAAAATTTAATGTCAAGAGTGGGTGTGCCGGAGTGGTTATTGGGCATGGCTAGAGATCATGTGGGCTTTGCTTGTGCAGGTTTGAATCCTGTCGCATACATTTCTTTGTTGTCACCTAATAGGTAGACTTTATGAGAAGAATTTATTGTCAAGTTTCAATTGATTTCTTTGATTTAGTTCTTCTACCCCAATTTTGTCACCCAATTCAATAAGTAATATTTGAAAAAAAAAAGTGAGAACTTAATGTTAAGAGTGGGCGTGATGAACTGGTTATTGGGCTTAACTAGAAATCATGTAGGCTTTGCCCACGCAGGTTCGAATCTTGTTGCTCATGTTTCTTTGATGTCACCCAATAGGTTGTGATCCACTCACTTATAGATTCTTGATATGAAAGGCCTGAGTACCCTAAGATCAAAAGGGCTTATTCCGATGCAGATAATTGATAAATCGAAAGGTGAAAACCATGGGCCTATTCACTATTATGTAGGATCGTTTGTACAAGTTGTATGGTTATTTTGTATATAGAAGTAATGAGTAGGTTTTGGTAATTAGGGGTTAACAATAATTACCAAGTCTATTATCTAATGTTGGTTTATCTATATCAGTGAGGAATGGATGAAATTTAAACAAGAGTATGGTGTGGGACAGGAATATTTAATTATTGTTATATTATTTTAAACAAGAGTATGGTGTGGGACAGGAATATTTAATTATTGTTATATTATTATTGTGACTCACGAAATACAATACAAGAATATTTAATTATGGTTATATTATTATTGTGTGCCTCACCCATTAAAACTTGAAAAGAAACTAATAATAATAATAATAATAATAATAATAATAGTAATAATAATAATAATAATAATATAAGTGGTAAAAATAATATCTAAAAGTAATTAAGTGTTAATAAAAATAGTAAGAATATTAACGTAAGAATTATAACATAGAACAAATAGTAATAATTAATAACTATAGTCTAGGATTAAATTTGGAATTGTCAGGAAAAGATAAGCGACCTCTGGTGAAATTAACTTTTTATCGATTTAAATATTCTTAATTTATTACAACTATTTCATTCCGTGCATCGCACGGGTGAAAATACTAGTATTAGGTAATTATATGTTCGTGAATTGTAGTACTTTAATATATTCTATTAGGACTATTTTACAATATTAGAATAGGAATTTGAATGAAGAATTATAGTATGAATAGAAAAATAAGAAATAATATATTTTATTAGGATTTGTATTACATAATTTTACAATATTAAGCAAATTTTAATAGTATATGACTGTTTTGGACGGAAGTTAAAATAGAGAATTTTGTTTTTATATATAGTACAGAGTATAGAATACATTACGAATAAGAATTTTAATGTAGAATTGTAGTACGAATAGTAAAATAGTATAGTATAGAACTGTTTTGGGCGGGAAGATAAAATTGAGAATTTTGTTTTTATTAATAGTGTAGATAGATTATTAAAGTTTAATTTAATTGATAATAATTGAAAATTTAATTTAAATTAATTGATAATTGCAAATTTAATAACAATATTAAAATTAAAAAAAATAAAAATATTAAATAAAAACTGGAAGCACAAATATTTTAAAAATTATGTTATAAAAATTAAATTAAAAATAAAAAAAATTAAGTAGCTGGCTGTTGCATTTGCAACCGCTAGTTTTTTTTTTTTTTTTTTTTTTTTTAACATAAATATTAATTTCAGAGTGGCCGCCAGCTCTGAACCGCTTTAGCGGGTGCCTATAACGGTTGGATTGCGCTCATCTCACTGTTTTTTTTTTTTGTTTTAAAATATATCTCCAAAAATCAATGTGTTGATGGAGAATATTTTTGCTCAAAAATCGACCTTCCCATCATAGAAAAAAAAAAAAAAAAAAACAAACAAACAAACTATTGCATCAAGTTTTTAGAGCTGCAAAAACGCAGATTGAGGGGAATGCAGTCTTTTTGTTCATGAAATGTATTGTCATGAGATGAGATGAGAGTGAAATTCATCTTCCTGATCGCCTCCAGTAATGTGGCCATCCACACACGTACGATTCGTTGAGATATAGCCTAGGGGGTATTGCAGAGTATGCAACTCCAAGCTTGCCCCCACCCCCATTTTACCCCTACCCCCACTCTAAATTTTTTAGTAAATATTTATGTATATATTGATATAGTAATGATAAAATACACTTTTTGCCCCTCTCTAATTTTTTTATAAGAAAAATCTATTATGTTTATATTAAATAAACTCAAAATATATATTAAAGTTCAAATTCATTAAATAAAAAGAAATAAATCAAATAATTAAAGTGACCATTTTTTTATTATCTTATTTCTTTTATCAAGATTTTAATAATGAATGGCATCAAGTATACATTTTAATTTTTTTTAAAAAAAAATCCTCCAAATTTGAGATATATGCTTTGGTTTTATTAGTTATATATGTTGAATAATTAATTAGTGATTTATTGTGTGTTTTAATTATTTATTTACATTTTTAAAATGTACATTTACTAGTTTAAATGATTAGTTTTGAAATTGACAAAAATTAATATTGATTATTTAATTCATCTAATTTTTGTTTTATCTCTCAAATTTTGAAATATTCAGTTAACCAGTAAAATGAATATAAGTTAATTATGACAAAATTTGGTATCAAAATAATTGACAAAACTTTTTATTTGATGTTAAGTGACAATCTATATTTAAATAAATGTTGTGGTTATTGTTATTATTATATTTTGTGTTATGTGAAAAAAATTCTAAAGTAATGATCGACACATGTGTCGACCGTACTCATATAATTATGTATTTCATACTTTACTACACATAGTATAATTAGAAATCATTATCAATAATAATCACAATATCACTACTGGAAATTATGGAATTTTCGACCACTTGAAAGTGATCTTAAATCAAGTCGAAAGCTTTGTTCCAACCACTTTTGGTATCCGGAAAAACATTTGTTGCTATTTTCGACCACTTTTTGCTTTTGACTTGATTTAAGATTACTTTCAGGTGGTCGAAAATTCCATAATTTCCAGTGATAATGTATGGTATATATAATAATATGGTGCAATTAATTATAATGTTGACTAACATTGTAAGTTTTCTTTACTACCCCCCCCCCCCCCCCCCCCCCCACACCTCAAGTTTTCTGGCTCCGTCCCTGGTTGTGAGGAATGGTCCACCTATTAGCTAGCCATCCATTTTTTGCGGACAATAGCCTTTTATTCTTCAAAGCTAATATCCAAGAAGCAATGACCATCATACAGACCGTACCCGTCAGACTTATGAGGAGGCTTCCGGATAGTCAGTGAACTTTAACAAGTCCACAATCACATTCAGCTACAATACCACAGGCCATATGTGTTCGTGATGATGAGCTTGCCGGACTTGGGTAAGTACCTTGGATTGTATTGTCATCGGTCATTGGTAGGCCGGAATAAGAAGAGGGTATTCAACTACATTTTAGAGATAGAAATTATCAAACAGGGTAGGCAAAGGCTTCATATCAACTTGGTGTAGCTAGCAACCCTCTGGTGAATGTTTGAAGTACCCCAGACCACAATCCCAATTAAGTGGCTTCACCAGATCAGATGTCAAGTGGACAAATCATAGATGCTTCGCCATCTGCAATGATATGCGAAGGCCAAGCTTTAATTTGGCGTAGTATTATATTGTTTGATGACACTGTAACACCCCGTGTTACGATCTCCAAACTCGGAATTAATTATATAATTAATTCCGCCAAGAACAGTTAATAGGGAGTTAATTTCTGTTAATTAATTAATGTCGTGGTCCACGGAGGACCATGTACCCTTGCCTATAATAAAGACCAGTCGTTATATTATAGACCGCGGTGCATGTGCACCGCGGTCAAAAACGACGCCGTTTCTTTAAGTAAAGAAACGGCCCGCCGTAAGAGTTAACGGAGTCCGTTTGTTTGGTGTATTAAACACCAACTGACACTACAGTATATCCAAACCGACACTGCAGTTATATCAAAATGATACTGTAGTTATAGTGAAATGAAACTGCAGTGTATATAAACTGAAACTGAATAACATTTCACATATTTGAGTGTATATTGTACAATGAAGCTGTAATTATATCAAAATGATCATGTAGTTGTGTTTTAATGAAACTATAGTGTATATAAAATAAAATTAAATAACATTTTCACATATTTGAGTCTATAAATATCGAATGAAACTATAGTTATATCGAAATGAAACTGTAGTTGTGTTCAACTGAAACTGCAGTGTATACAGAATGACACTGAATAACAGAGTTACTTTTTGCAAAAGGGTGCGAAACGGCGGAAATAAACATTGTTAATTTTCATTTAAAAAAAGACGCGCGGTGCATAATCGATTATGCACCGCGGTGCATAATATAATTTCCCAATAAAGACCCTAAAAGCCTAAATATGTTACTATATATGGACCTTGGATAATTAGTATATAGGCTATGATATTAGGGCCCAAACCCTGAGCCCAAATATATATATATATATATATATATATATATATATATATATATATATATATATATATATATATATATATATGTCCCATACCTGGCCCAGAACTCCTCTCAAACCCAACCCATAATAGCAATCCTATTACTATTATTATAAGAAGTATGTATATGTGTATATATATAATAACGCCTAAGGATACGTAGTATGCCCGTATATGCATATAGATTATACGAAGACATAATTATACATACATACCTCCCTCCACTGTGTAGTATATATATACACACATACATGTATATATATATATATATATATATATATACCAAGGCCTAATCTATACGGGTAGTATATATACGTATGAGTATCTACAAGAAAGCCTAAACCACCTCCTTCTCCTCTCCCTGCCAAGAAACTCGTGTGGTATTATTCTTGGTGTATTGGGCGGGAATTCACATGTTTGGGTGTTAATTATGTTAGAAAAGCATGATAGGATATGTGCCGCATATTTCTTGATTGTGATCCGTTAAATGTTTACGTATCGTTGTCGATTGCGTTTGAAAGTGTCTAAGCATGGTTTCGGGTTCCACAAAGGTTCCCGGGGTGTTTTTGGTAAGAAAGAGTCAGTGGGGGGTAGGGGACCCGCCACCTACCCGCGGCCAAGATGGGCAGTTCCGGCAGCGGGCAGCCGGCGGGCGGGCAGCTGCCCGCCGGGCACCCGCTGCCCGGAACAGTTAACGCCGGTGGGCAGCCGGCGGGTGAACCCTCACCCACCGGCTACCCGCTGGAAATCACCCCAACCCGGGATTTTGGCTTCCCCGTTTGATGTTCCCCCGACCCCCGTGGTGTCCCAACGAACCCCTCCCATCGTGCCTATGTCTAGTTTGATGTTCGGATACCATTCGTAGGCTGAAAGAGTCTTGTATATTGCATGCTAGTTGAATTGGTATCCCGTTGGCCTAGGTGTAAGACGTATGAACCCCTTAGGACTATTCTTAGTTGTGGATGACCACGCATAGGTTTCATTATACGTTTTCTCCCCCTTCCCAGTGTTCTAATGTGGGCTGCTTGTACTTGCTATGTGTTATGTGTGCATGTTACCCCAATTTGGTTGCGATCAAATTGGTTATACGGGCAGTTGGATGGGTTGAGAACCATACTAACTGTTAACCAGGCCGGTTGCGATCGGTCAGGTATATAAATATTATATAGGGCTGCGGTCCACCGTTTGGTTGCGATCAAACGTTCTACATGAGCTGCGGTTCATATTTCCTGGCTGCGGTCAGATGACATACTCTTGGGCTGCGGTCCACTGTTTGGTTGCGATCAAACTATGATGAGCTGCGGTTCATCGGTCGGTTGCGATCGACCCCTCCGTGTTGCAATACGGGGCAGGGTGCTGCGGGGCCGTGTCAGAGCTATATGCGCTGACCCTCATGTATGGGCATGCGATTGGTCCTGTCACTACTACAGAAAACGGTTTTAACGTCGGTTAAAATACCCCATTTAACGTCGATTATCTTTCGACGTCGTCTTAAGAGACGTCGTAAGTAAATGATACGACGTCGGTTGAACAACCGACGTCGTATGTAATATACGGCTTCGGCTTTTACCTAAAAGCCGAAGCCGTATATATATATATATATATATATATATATATATATATTTTAAATAATTTACATACGACGTCGGTTTTTAGGTAAACGCCGAAGTCGTACATATTTATTATTTTTAAAAAATAAAAAATAATTAGCCTACGGCGTCGGTTTTTAGGTAAAAACCGACGCCGTATATATATATATATATATATATATATATATATATATATATATATATATATATATATATATATATATATATATATATATATATATATATATATATATATTTTTTTTTATAAAAAAAATAATAAATATATACGGCTTCGGCTTTTACCTAAAAGCCGAAGCCGTATATATTTATTATTTTTTAAAAAAATAATAATTGACCTACGACGTCGGTTTTTAGGTAAAAACCGACGCCGTATGTTCTTTTTTTATTTATTTATTTATTTATATGCGTTTTATGTTTTCTACCCCACCTGTATCAATTTTCAAACCCTGCGCAGCTAGCAATTTAACATTCAGCATTCAACATCAACTAATTTATTAAACTAATTCAAGCTACTAAACATAAAACTAATATAAGTACCACAATTCAACAAAACTACTAAACATTAAGCCAATAAACATAAACTAATTTTAAACGTAAAGTATCAAACTATTAAACATGAAACTAATATAAAGAACACAATTCATTAAGCTAATTCAAGCTACTAAACATAAAACTAATATAAGTACCACAATTCAACAAAACTACTAAACATTAAGCCAATAAACATAAACTAATTTTAAACGTAAAGTATCAACTAAGAAGCGTTTTATTAACCCATTCATCAATAAGAAGCTTAGACCATTTGTCTCTAACTTCATCAATCTCTTTTTTGTTGTAGGGCAATCTTCCTTGTCTTTCCAAAGCCTACAAAGTTCAAAAGAAATAAAATTAATAAATAAGCAAGTATTTTTAAACATTTGAAGCCAAAAGATATATTAAGAAATTACTTGCCTTATCCATTCCTTTGCTTAGATTGTTGGAAACAATTTCCAACATGAACTTCATCACATAATAACCACATTCGGTGGTTCCCTTTTGTATAGCACACTACATTGAATTACAATAAAAATAAAATAAATTAATAAAAAAAAATAATAAGTTTGCATGTTTTACAAAGTGAATGAAGTACTTACCGAACATATAGTCCATTTTGGTGAACGATTTTGTTTCTTTCCACTCATCATGTTTGTTGCAGTCATACACCTATTAATATAAGACATAGAATATATATAAATACTTGGCATCACTAGTTTAATGATAACTATTAATTAATTATATAAATTTACATACGTTTCCATTATATGTTTAATGTCTTCACGCGGCCCATGACCAAGTGAATCAAACCAAAAAATTTCATTTAGTCGAGGACAAATCGCCATCAACATCCAATGCTCACTACAAATAAATAATTTATTAGTTTTAAGTGAATATAATATATAATAAAAATATATTATATATAAGTACTTTTATTTAAAACGTAATTAATACTTACTTGAGAACATATGGGGCTAAGTATACCAATTTCTTCCCCGACTGCATGGTGGCATTTATATATGATTTCCTGTCTTCCATATTATTCATTTGTGGTTGAATCCAATATGGATCTAGGAAGCCATACGTGTCTTTTGATGCCAACTCAAAACTAATGTAAATACCCCTATTCTCACAAACACAACCAATTATATATAGATTACCAACTATATAAATATAAAACTATTATGAATAAATAATACTAAAGAACTTATTACCTCATAAAGAACTGAATTAGAGAAACATCGATGGTCTCCATATTTAAGAAACGCATTATCTCATCACTTAGAAGGTGCAAGTCATAGTCAATGTTGCCCATAATACCACGAGCCACATGGACCACAAGAGGGTGTTCAAAATGGCGAGCTATTGGAAAGGCCTTTTTGCATCCATCAGTCAAAGAATCATCATCAGGTATAGTGAATTGTTGATGAACGGATTGCACACCCGAATGAAAAGTCAATTTGGTCTTTTCTTTTGACTGTGAATTATAATACAAGTAAGAATTATTATTTTAAAAAGTAAATTACTTACTATTTTAAAATAGAAATATTTTCAGTATACATACCACATCAACTTTAGTACATAACTCTACCAGCTTCTTTGGCCAAGCAATAAAGTGTTGAATTGCATCACCTACAAGCTGAACCTCACTGGTGGGGATTGGTACATGTGCACTTGGATCACTAACTTCATTTACGCTCACCTTCACATGATTTATATCCAATACAACCCCATGAACCTGTCCACCACTGTAAGCTGTCCCATATGCTACTGGACGTCTAATTGGATCTTCTAAGAACAGTTGACATCGTGCCCCTAACTACAATAATTTTTAATTAAAAATCATATAAAATTTTATTGATAAATAATAATAAGATAACTTTAAACGAATACTTACAGTCGGTAAATTACTAAAAGGGTCTGGGGAACTAGCTTTGTCACTTGGAGGTAGTGACACAACATCCACACATACGTCATCCACCTGCTTTGCTTGTAAAGGAGTCTGCATAGCACTAAATTTCAACATCATACTAGCTATTTTTGCCTCAAATTGCTCAGTTAATCGTTGACCAAATTCCTCCCGTTCAGAAATATTTTGCTGCTTTTGTTTCTCTAACGCTACTGCAACAGCATCATCAACCATTTGTTGAACATCTTCAGGAGGCTTTTCGCGACGTTTTGCATGGCCAAATACACTTTTGAAGCCATGTCCTCTTCCCATGGCTCTAACACGTCCAGAATGCTCATCAGTACCCAATGCAACAGTCAATGAATCTTGTCTTCCTTTCTCAACAAATTCTCCTTGAGAAATTTGGATCTCAAGAGCATCCTAACATATATAAAAATTATTCAATAATAATTACTATTACTTTAGTAAATGACAACATATTTACTTACAATTTTTTCCGCCACCAATCTTGTTGATTCAGTGCGATAATTTCCTGACTTGTCAATTCTTGCTTTCTTCCACTTTTCGGCTCTACGTGGAGGACTTGGAGGACTCATTGTATACGTCGGATCTGCATCAGCCAACGCTTGTTTTTCTTTCAACTTCTCATCCATCATCATCTTCTCCAACCTTTTATAACCTCCTCGAGCTAAAAGATGTGGATGAATATTCTTAGCTTGTATGTCTTGATATTTTTTTCTTTTTTGCCTATATAAATACAAAATATTAATCAAACTCTTTACATGTCCCTCATAATAATGATAGAGTTTATGTTGGAAATATTGATAGAATAATAACGATACCTCATATGTTGAACCTGTATGCGACTTTACAAACTCATCCCATGTCTCTTGTTCAATGAAGTTGTATTTTATACATGGGCTCATACCTGCAAAACTGCCGTATATATACTTGCTCACCAATTTCGCTTTAAAATCTTTCCACCGATCACCCACATATCTTAACCATACTCTCCTCATATCAGTTGTGTCGGGAATATCATAAGTATTCTGCAAAACAAAATTATTTATTAGTTAGAAATGTAATTATAGAAACTTTATGAATAAATCAAAATCTTACAAAATTAAAAGTTACCAGGATTTGTTTCCAAATAGTACTCTTAATATTTTCTGGGACATTCGGCCATTCATCTATGGTGATAGGAGTATGTATTCGTCCCACTAATGCAACATAACTTTTAAATGCACTGCCTTCTGGCCCGTAGACAGGCTCCAATCCATCAAGCTCAATGTGGTGTTTCCCTTCAGTAGAACGCTGCAGAATGAGTTTTTGCATACGAGTGGCGCCCCTCGTCTTAGAAGTAGTATTACTACTTTGAGTAGTATGAGTATCTTGTGCAGTACCATCCTCTGTAGTACCATCACCATTTGCTGAATCCATACGCCTGTTTAGAAACAAAAATTATTAGAATATATAAAAGTACTACAATAAGAAAACTAAAAAACAAAATAAATAGCGGGCATTACATGTAATAATCAATTCTCCCATATCCCTTCATGATGATCATCTCGTGATGCATGTACTTCATCTATCTCATTATCAATAATAGTGGGCAACAAACTTGAAGAAAATGGTGGTATTTCCTCAATATCAAAACTAACATCTTCATTCTCATCTCTAGTAATTTGTCTCTTTCCATGAAGAACAATTGACCATTTTTTGTCACAAGGATCACTAATATAAAAGACTTGTTTTGCTTGGGATGCCATTATGAACTGCTCATTTTTGTGCCCTTCACGATTAAAATCAACAAGTGTAAATCCCAACTCATCAACTTTTACACCATGTTTATTATCTACCCATCTACATCGAAACACCGGCACCCTAAACAAAACATAATCAACTTCCCATATTTCTTCAATCACACCATAATATGACAACTCTGCGAACACAGGATTTGTATCTTTCGAACTACTGAAATGCATGGAATTTGCAACCAAAGTAACTCCACTGTTTTGCATAGTGCTCTTTTCATCTTGAGCTTTTGTATAAAAAGAAAACCCATTAATGTCATATCCATTATAGCATAGGACATCCAAACCAGGACCATGTGCTAACCATGAAACAGTTTCAGACATATTATTCTCTTCAATAACTTTATTTTTGAACCAACGAATAAAAGTTCGATTATGTTCGCCCACAATCCACATGTCTGTCCTTCTTGGATTTTGCTCTCTAATCAATGCCTTGTGTTCATCTAAATACGGCTCGACTTCACTTGTATTATGCAAGATGTACAAGTGTGCCTCCTCAACATCTTCACGAGGCATAGTCTTCACTTTGACTCCTCGAGTACCCTTCCCAGCAATTCTTCCTTCATGTCGATTAGTAGAAACACCAATAGCATCTACCCCTGCCAAATATTCTGTACAAAACTCAATAACCTCCTCTGCAACATAGCTTTCAACTATAGATGCTTCCGGCCTATATCGGTTCCTAACATAACCTTTTAATACTTTCATGTACCGTTCAAATGGGTACATCCACCTCAAATAAGCTGGACCACAATGTTTGATCTCTCTCACCAAATGCACAAGCAAATGAACCATGATATCAAAAAATGAAGGTGGAAAGTGCATCTCTAGCTGACACAGTGTAACAATAATGTCATTTTGCAATTCATCTAATTTGTCTGGATCAACACTTTCCCACATATTGCATTGAAAAAGAACAAAGTCTTATGATGGTATATCTCAACTTTTTAGGTAATATGCCTCTAACAGCCACTGGCAATAGTTGTTGCATTAAGACATGACAATCATGAGACTTCAACCCCACCAACTTTAAATCTTGCATATTAACAAGTTTACTGATATTTGATGAATACCATTGTGGTACCTTTACTCCACGTAAACACTCACAAAAAACTTATTTTCTCCTTTCTTGATAAAGTATGAGCAGCTGGAGGCAAATATGTTCTCTTATCCCCGCACGTGGAGCTAATGTAGGTCGTATACACATTTCAACCAAATCCAATCTAGCATTGAGTCCATCTTTAGTCTTACCTTTAATGTCCTAAAAGAGTTCAACAAGACTATCACATACATTTTTCTCCACATGCATCACATCAATACTATGTCTCACATCTAGTCTTCCAATATGGAAGATAAAAAAATATAGATTTCTTTTTCCACGGAGTCTTCTCATTTGTAGGTATCTCTTTTGACCTCTTACCTCTTTGAGATTGAAGCTTTTGAGTCTTACCAAAAGTAACATTGATGCATTCAACTCGTTCATAACTTGATTCCCTGTTAATGGTTGTGGAACATCTGTATAGTCTTGAACGCCATTGAATGCCTTTTTTAATTTTCTATAAGGGTGAAATTTATCAAGAAATCTCCGATGCCCCATGTATACAGTCTTTCTACCATGAACCAGTTGATGATAACAGGTATTATTTTCACATATGGGGCATGCCTTATGACCTTTGACACTATATCCAGACAAGTTACCATAAGCTGGAAAGTCATTGATTGTGCAAAAAAAGCATTGCATGCAACTTAAAAGTCTCCTTCCGGTATGCGTCAAACACTAACACACCTTCATCCCATAATTGCTTCAAGTCATCAATCAAAGGCGCCAAAAAACATCTATATCATTGCTGGTTGTTTTGGCCCAGAAATCATCAAGCTTAATAATATGTATTTGCGTTTCATACACAACCACGGGGTAGATTATAAATTATCAACATAACTGGCCACGAGCTATGCTTGCTACTTAGGTTCCCGTGAGGGTTA